GGAGGAGGAGGTCGCCGGAGAGGAGAAGGAGGTCGCCGGAGAGGAGGAGAAGGAGTGGGGGAGAGGAGAGGAGGAGATGGAGTGGGGAAGAGGAGAGGAGGAGATGGAGTGGAGGAGAGGTGGAGTGGAGGAGGTGCGCCCAGCCATATATACGACATACTAATGGCGCACCATGGGCCGGTGCGCCATTAGTATTTTTTTTATTTTTGTTGACTTATTTTGAATTTTGAAGGCGGGAAGATACTAATGGCGCACCATGGGCCGGTGCGCCATCAGTAACTTTTTTTTTATTTTTTTGACTTATTTTGAATTTTGAAGGCGGGAAGATACTAATGGCGCACCATGGGCAGGTGCGCCATTAGTAACTTTTTGTTTATTTTTTTGACTTATTTTAAATTTTGAAGGCGGGAAGATACTAATGGCGCACCATGGGCAGGTGCGCCGTTAGTAACTTTATTTTTATTTTTTTGACTTATTTTAAATTTTGAAGGCGGGAAGATACTAATGGCGCACCATGGGCAGGTGCGCCATTAGTGAGTTTGAATTTTTTTGAATTTTTTTGCCTCTCCAGATCTTAAAAGCCCCGTATCTTTTTTTCTGTTAGGTTTTTGAGCATTTTGAAAATGTTTAACGGGGTGATTTTGCAGTGACATGAATTCCATGTTTCTTGGCAATCTGCCGCTGATTTCATTGTCGGAGATGTACAGATACATGGTCTTTGCAAATGTAGTGGTGAACCAGTCAGGAGGCCTATCAACTATACCTGTGATTGATATATCCATTGAGCGAATGTCAACTTGCGATAGAAGCCATGCAGGAAACGAAGGGCCAAGTTGGCAAGTCCAAAGACCTATCGTTTCTAAAGTAAAGGGTGGTATCCAATCGGGACCAACTCTAAACCTCAAGGAATTACCACTTAATAGTAGCCTCTTTAACCTTGTTAGACTTTTAAAATGTTCTTCAGTGAAGTCACCATTCAAGAAGTTGCCTCTGAGATCCATTGTGGTCAAATTGCAGAGCATACCGATCTCAGATGGAATAGGTCCATTGAGATTGTTGTCTCGTAGAACCAATATGGTCAAATTACCGAGCATGCCGATCTCAGATGGCATGATTCCGGTAATATTGTTGGAGCGCAAGTGCAACTCGTGCAGCTTGTTTAAGGGACACTGGGGCATCCTCCCTATAATATCCTTTATATTTCCGCCAATTTGACAATAAGAAAGATCCAGGATTCTCATATTGCATAGGTTTTTGAAGCTTGTAGTCATCGTCCCCATGTTACGATTATATGACAAATCAAGGACTTGGAGGGACGTCATATGTGCCAGTGCATCAGGAGTTTGACCGTACTGTTGAGTGTCGGCAAGGTAGAGATGCTGGAGGCCTGTCAAATTCCAAAACCAACTTTGTGCCATTGGGTGGGCAAAAATGTTGCTAGAGAGATCAAGCTTCTCGAGTTTGGTAAGGTTAATATGTGGGAGTGATTGGTTTGAGGTTGGAAGAGAGCAAAACCCAAGATCAAGGGCCTTCAAAGAAGGAATCATGTTGACAACATAAGGCCAGTCAACTATAGGGCTGAGGTTTACTGAATTCATTCCAAGATACTGCAATTTAGGGATGCGTGCTACCCATGAAATGTCTCTCGAGTACATATATTCATTGCAAAATTGGCATGAGAGGTCAAGATGCTGGAGGTTTGAGAGG